TGGGCTTGGCTGGAAATTGTATTGGGTGTCTTTCAACTAATCCCCCACCCCCAAATGTCATCAGAGATGGATGTTCCTTGCAGACGTCTCTGTTTGGACCAAAAAAATGTTTTTTTTTCATTGACGTGGGGGCATGTTTTCAATGAAAACAATCCAATCCACTCTCATATTAGCATCTCCCTGTCAAGTGCTCCTGGTTTCAGTATCTGAGTGGGGCTGGGGGGGTTCACCCAGTCAGGCCACTTGGATCTTCTGCCTAGATTTGTAGTTCCTGCCTAGCAGTGAATGGATGCATCAGAGGCAGGTGCAACTCTCCACAGATGGCGTGACATTGTGCAGCGCGCTGGGTTGTAAGAACTGAGATTTCTTCCTGACCCCACCTGCTGACTGATGCCCTGAAGCATCTCTATTGTTGATGTCTGGTGGTTCCTTTCAATATGAAACAAAGCTCCGCCAGGTTGTCCCTTTATAATTCTGCTTGCAGTGATCCGGGGCGCCGGCCTCTTGGCTTCCGTCAATTTTCACTGTAAATGCAGAGCAAGTCTGTCTACCCGCCTGGTGCAACAGTGCTGGGGGAGCTAGTTTTGTTTTGCAGTGTAGATTGGGTCTTGCCATCACTTAGAAATTACACTAAGACCTTGGACTCCTTCCCACTGTCTGGTGCCAAGTGGAGACCTCTGTTTTATGTTTCAAGGTCACGCTTTGTTCCACATTCTCTGGCACAGCTGGGTTTGTAAGATAGGCAGGGCAGCAATGAGGTGCAGGCATGGTTACGCAGCCCCTCGCTGCCTGGAGCCATCTATCACTGCGTAGTCGTTCGGTGACCATATAACATTCCTGCAGCCCCCAGATCAACTGCCCAGCTAAGTACGGCACATAAAATAACAGTGGCACTTTTTAATATTGTTTCGGAGGGGAAAACAAGAACAAGGAACTGAAATGGGCTTCTGGTGGGTTACACGCTGGGCTGGACTCAGGAGGCCTAGGCTTTACCCCTGCTCTGCCACTGGCCTGCTGGGTGGCCTTGGGCAAGTCACTTGCCCGCTTTGTGCCTCGGTTTCCCTGTCTGTAACTTGCAGACAATGATGCTGCCCTCCTTTGTCGAGTGGGGTGAGATCTGCGCAGCGTAGGAGCTGGGTGTGATGGTTATTGTTCTTTGGCCAGGCTCCTATAAAGCATTTGGACAATTCTCTGGATAACGACCCTGACCCTGCGTGTCCTCAGAGAAGAAGCAGAGTGATGCCAGTTTAGCAGAGCCACGAAATGTGTCGCCTGCGGGGAGGGCTTGTGCAGGGTACAGCTCTGGCTGAGAGCACAGGGTGCTACACAATGGAGAAGCTGGTCATCTCGTTAGTGCAGGGCTGCTTCTTTGTTCTGAGTCTGAATGGGGTTCTCTCAGAAATGTGAAACTAAGCAGGTGTTGGCTGGTCAGTTCTTGGAGGGGAGACTACTGTGACTGTCACCAGATGACACATGTTGAGTCTCCCCTCTGAATCAGCCCTAGCGGGTGCTGTGATCTAAGAGAGGCATCCCTGTGGAGCTACTCTTGAACTTTCTGCCCTCTACTGGATGGCATCTGAACTGTGCAGTGTTGTGTCATAAGCCCAATAAAGCTAGTGGGGATTCTCCTTTTGCCCCAACTCTGTCCCAGGCATTACTAGAAAGCTCTGGCTGGCTTGCAGCCTGGTAGAGATAACAGTGGGTGGAATCACATATAGACCAGATGCAGTGATCATTTCCCACAGAAGTCATTGGCGTCTTTTGTCCATCATGCTGCCCATGATGCTAACAGATTTGCTGAAGTATGTTTAGGAGGCAAATGCTGCTGTTGGTGATACCAGTAAGGCCTGAATTTTTCAGGATCAGAAGAACAATGAGAATCCAATATCCCCCAGTACATGGTTTTCATTTCACTCTACCGGTCAATTTCACTTCCTCTCTCGTCATTTTCACTTTCTGGCTCTGTGACTGCTAGCCACAAAGCACTTGTGCTTCAGGGTGATAATGTTTTGATATCAGGTGCATTTTGTTGGGGGAGGTGGTGGGGGGAAGAGGGCTCTCTGTTGGCAAAAGGAGCCCCTGGTGCAAATGATACTATGTTTGGTCCACTGGTCCTCCCTCAGGCCCTCAGGAAGTGCTCGGATGTGGAAGCCCCTGCAAGTCAGGGTGTGAGTTTAAGAGCACTTAGAAAACCCGGCAATGAAACAATAAGTAGTTCCCGGCCTGAACAACCGCAGAAGCCTGGAGGCATCTCGCTTGGTGGGTCAGAGCGCTTTTGTGTAACCAGGTTTGGATGGGAGACCCGGTGGGCGACGGGCATCTGGTGCTAACCCGTTTTGGCAGAAATTGGAGAAAAACTGGCTGAACTCCAGTTAATGTCAGTGCAGCTAATCCTGATTTACCCCTGTCTGAGAAAGGGGAGGCGCAGCTCCAAGTGCCTGGCCTTGCTAAAGAAACAGCTGAACAAGGCAGATAACACAGAAGCTCTGTTTGCAGAGGTCTCCAAAGCACCAAGCTACATGGGGGGGAGGCACAGAGAAGGGAAGTGACTCACACAGGCTCAGAGGTGGGGATAGAATCCATCTCTCGTGAGTCCCAGCCCCTCGCTCCCCCCACTGGATCACAGCAGATGTGAAAGCTGCACGGGATGCTAACGAAGGCCTGGCCTGTGTTAGAAAATTAGGCAGGCGTCATGACGTCATAAAACTCTGCATTCCTGAGCGGGGCGGTTAAACTGCCCCTCCTCACAACATGGACGGCAGTAGAATCCTGCCACCCTAGCTCCCTGGGAGATGGGATATTGATGCTGATGGGAGAACCGTTCCTGTCGGGGTGGGTCGTGTCTCTAGACTGAAGATCTGCAGCGTTTCACTTGTAAACAAGCTGTAACTCCCCTGTCTGGATCTGTAACCACTAGCCTGCACTGCCTCCCTATGCGCTGGATGAAGGGGAGGCCATCCAAAGGTGTTTTGTTCTTCCCGTCCCCGGTGCTCCCTTGAATTTTTCCATCCACGTGCAGAATGAATTTTGTTGCACACACTCAGGCATGTGCACATGTGCACCACCAGTAGAAACACAGGCTGCCAGCTGTGGTTCCCTGGCTCATGATTGGGGCCTGGGAAACGCAGATGCTGATGAGCTGTCTGGAGAATCAGGAGTTAATGAAACCACTGAGCTGTGTTACCACTGCTGGTGGAATGAGGGCCCGGGTGTGACACCCACAGAGCTCGCCTGCATGACTGTGTCGCTTCCACTCCGGATTTGAGCCTCTCACCAGGGCGTGAAAGCCCTGTTAACATCAGTGAGTTTAGCATCACAACCCCTCTGCAGGGTGGAACATTGTTAACCTCCCTCTTTATAAAGATGGGGAAACCGAGGCACAAAAGGGGCAGGGACTCCCCAAAAAGTCATCAGCGGAGTTGGGAATAAAACCTAGGGCTCTTGACTCACATGCTCGCAGTCTCTACAGCACTAGTCACCACTCCCCTTCCAGAGCCGCGAATGGAGCCCAGGCGTCTTAGCTGTTGCCTTAACCACATGGCCAACCTTCCGGGAATCAGCCAATGAGAGGGCTCCTCACCAGCTCACCTGAGCAGCCTGTAATTGGCATGAAGGGCAGGTGTGTGTGTGTGGGGGGGAGGGGTATCTGCGCTGTGACTTCTGGGGCTCAGCAAATGTCTCCGGTTTCCTGGGCCTCCGTCCTGTCTCCCTGAGCTCACCGGCTCTGGGGATCCTCCGGCAGGAATGTCAGAGCCTGGAGACCTGGCAGGCCCTGGTCTCAGGTTTGTTCGAGGCTTTTCGTCCGGCGGATCTGGAAGAGGATTGACGCCTGCTTGCTTGTCATTTCAGGAGGAAAAACCTATTAAAAAAACAAAAACAATCTGGAGACGATAGCTTGTTCTGTTTCCAGCCCACCCCCACCCCCGGTCCTTCTCTGTTCATCTCATCCTTGCCCTCGGCACTTCACCAGAGAGGGCTTAGAAACAAAAGTGGAACTGCTGTCGCCACACCTGCCCGGGGAGCCCCTCACCGTGGTCTCGGGACATGGCGTCTCTGGGATTGATGCTGCAGGCATGGAGGCTGTGGGAGAGCAGGGGCCACGTCAGGCTGGGAGGGCTGATCCGGTGCCTGCGTGTGGGGCAGGGATTAAGGGCTTTAAACCCTCGGTGCTGTCTGTATTCTCAGGCTCTGCAGGCCTCGTCCACTCCTGGGGCGCTTAAAGCAGCCTCAGGGCTGCTCTGCTTTACGCCCTGCTCCTCGGGGCCCGGGGAAGCAGAGGAGGATACCCGTCGTGCAGCGCCGTGTGACTTGACCCACCAACAAGTTATAAAAGGGGCCTTTGTGCATCTGTGACTCCACCCCCTCTGGGCACCGTCTCCCTGATAAGTCCTAGTGGAAGATCAGAGGGGGCAGCTTCCCCCCCCAGATTTTAATTCCTTCCCCCTGATGACTATAACGCTGTAAATCCCTCTGCAGCTCAGCAGAATAATCTCCCTTGTAATCGCTCTCCAGGGTTCCCCGGCTTTGCTTCCCGGCTGTCTCCTCTCCACTCCTGCGTTCATTTCACTCCAGCGTTTGGGCCCCCTCTGTAGCCTGGGGGCTGGAGAGGGGCCGGGGGAGCCCAGGGCTCTGGACTGGGCTTGCAGGGCGCAGGTGAAATCAGTTTGCTGGAGAGGTGAACTCAGAGGACAGACTCTTCGGTGGTGTGGGGGTGCCGGTCCGGGATTGAGGGGCCTCGTAGATGTGTGTGTGTGTGTGTGTGTGTGTGTGTGTTCAGGGCTAGGACAGAAGGGGGTTAAGGGCATCAGGAGAGTTGGGGAGAGCTCAAAGTTGCATGGGGGAGGAGCTGTGATGCAGGACACCTTTACAGGCATCAGCCCCCCCACATCCTGCTTTTCTCTGGCAGGTGACTCTGAGAGCCGCTGTCCACAGTCCACCCCGGCAGGGCCCGGCCCCACATCCCTTCCCACCTAACCTGTGCCCTCTGTTTGTTTTTGCAGCTGATGGCCAAGGATGGCGGGGCCGTGGGCCTTGCCAATGGGGGGTCTGGGAGCCCCACCGACACCATCAAGGTGAGAGTTGACCCTGGTGCATGGTGGCTGGGATCTGCTCTTTCCTCCGGTCGTTGAGTGGTCGGGAGGCTGGGCTCAGGTGCCTGATGCTCCTCCTCCCACTCCCTGTTTTCCCGGCAGGGGATGGCGGGGGAGCAGTGGTGTCTCTGGTTCTCACCTGCCTTGAACACTCCATCCTGCTGAGCTCTGGGACCCAGGGCTATCCTGTGGCAGCAGGTTCCGCACCTGAATTTTTGCATTTTTTACAAAAGTTTTGCTTTTAAATGCAGCTGGCGTATTTATCCGGCCCCAATTATTTCAGCCCTTCACAATCAGCATCATATGCATTCTTGTGTCAGAGCAACTATACCTAGCGGGGGAAACTGAGGCAGGGCGGCTAAGTGACTCAACCAAGGTCACTCAGTGAGTTGGTGGCAGAGTAAAGCATGGAACCAGGTCTCCCAAGCTCTGGCTTAGTTGCCTAGCTGCTGGACCAACCTCTCTTGGCTGCCTTTTGCTTCCATCAGCTTTTCCTCAGTCCCTGCAGCCCAGCTCCTGGCTAACCCCTCTGCGGACCAGCTGGTTGGTTCTAAAGAGGTAGGTCAGGGAGGCTGCGAAGTGGCAGGGTCTGGGGAATGGTGCTGTGCTACAAATGGGGATTAGCTGCACATGGCTGGGAGGTGGATGGTGAAGGCAGCTGGTAGCAAAAGATACTTTGATCTGCCAGGTGGCAGCAGGAGAGGCTGGAAATTGACCCAAAGGGGAAGTAAGGGCCAAGTTTCTCTCCGCAGGGAGGCTTTGCCCTGGATCAGCCTCTAGCAGATGCTTCATCTCTGGGCTCTGCGGGTTGCCACCGGGCAGGTGTCGAAAAGGCCAGTTCCTGCTCAGCCCATCAAGGCAGGACTTTGCTCTCAGGCCTGAGTGGTGGGGCCGTTCTGAGTATGAGCTGAGCACCAAGGGAAGCATATGGCGGAGAGCTGGTCATCTCTGTTCACTTGTTTCTGCCCATTGCACGGGCGCTAGCTGGCTCCTGGCTGGCTGCCTCCACAGAGAGGCCAAGAGTTGAATGAGTTATGGAGTCTGAAATTCCCCAGAGCGGGGGAGAGGCAGGATCCTGCCTGTGCCGCTGGGCAGCGTGGCTGGGCACGGTTGAATCCCTGCCCTGCCTCACACAAGATCTGGCAGCATTTTGGTTCCACGGGAATGATCCCAGGGTGGTGACGCAATGGGCTGTTTTTGCCACGACTCACCCCAGAGCTGGCCGCATGTCAGTGGCCGATGACTGTTCCCTGGGCAGCGTTGAGGTATGCTGTTCAGCTGCGATGCCTCCCCCCAGAGGTAGCTGCATTGCAACTACCCCATATGCTGGTTAGCCTGAAGAGTCAACGCTTGCCAGTAGAGATCACAGCAGGGGGGAGGAGGGAATGTCATTGAGGTACCCTTGTGTAGGAATCGACAGCGCTTTCTGACAGCGCTCACTGTGGGAGGAATTTGAGTAGCTCCTCAGAGCCCTGTGTCTCTGCTGCCCGGTTTGGATGGAAGGTGCCGTGTAACTGCAGGCATGCTGGCGCAGGCACAGGCATGTGGATAAAGCCGGGTGGCAGACATTGGCATGTGGGAACGGGGGCCTACCAGAGGAGTCCCAGCCAGGCCCCTCTCCTTCTCCCCAGCTCTGTGATCCCTTCTTCTCAATCAGGATGATGAAGTGAACCTGTTGTGTTACTGTAGCAATGCAGCATGGGAAAAATCCTGCTCTTCCTCAGTTTACCTTAAAGGAGCCGGGGTTGATGTTAGTCTTGGTGATGGGGGCTTTGCCCCGTCCCATTCAAGAGCTCTACAAACCTTCACTCTGTTTCTGCCACAAGCCCCCCCGTGGCCAGAATCCCCCTGCCCGTGGTGCACACTGGAGTAGGGAAGCAACATGCCCAAGGGTATGCAAGGAGTCAGTAGCAGAGGCTGGAAAACAACCCAGGAGTCCTGGCTCTCAGCCTGCTATGCCTTTGACGAATAGCTCCCTGTAGACTTGTAGTGTATTTCTGTAACCACCAGTGGCTGGCTCTGCAGGGACTGGAACCTGCAACTTTCCGCACAAGCCCAGGCGTTGCTACCCGCTGTGCTAAGGAAGGGATACCCCCTGCAGCGGCCTGACCCTGCCAGCTAAGCTGGGGTGTTGCCTTCAGTGTCTTCTCTGCTGCCCTCTGCAGGAGACCGGCTGCCCAGAGGACGATGAGGTCTTTGTGTCGGAGCCACCGCTGAGTCCCAACTCCATGGCTACCTTCCGAGCCAGCAACGTGGAGGACCTGTACGAGCTCTTGGAGAAACTGGGCAGGTGAGGTGCCGCAGCTCAGGCCGGCCCTCCGCTGTCTCCGGGCTGCGTCTCGGTCCAGCGTAACTCGGGATGCTCTGCTCATGTCTGTGCCCTGTTGCAGGGGGAGGAGCGGTACAGCCCTGGAGCTGGAGGGAGTCTGCGGGTGGGGGGGAGTTGGCGCGGGCAGCCCTGAATTTTGTCCTGCGGACGTGTTGCTCTCTCACGTGGATGGAGGGTGCTAAGCTCGGGGTCTCTCCCCGCCAGCTCAGAGCAGAACAACCACCGCAGGAAATTCCTGCTTGCTTCCCGCCCCTGGCTTGTCACAGAGCTGCCCCCCATGGCTTCTTCTCGCCGCCCCTCCCTCTCGGCTCCTGACTCCGGCCGTCTCTGGACAGGGCTCCCCTGCAGCCTGAGCAGCTGAAAGGGTTGGATGGCGTCAAGGTGCAGTCGGGCATGTGGAGCCAGCATCAGCGATGCCCTAAAGCACCTTCCCTAACCACGAGGCTTTGCGTCTGTCCCAGGAGTGCACACAGAACCCAGGAGTCCTGGCTCCTCCCCTTTCCTTCCCCCGTCCCTTCCCCCACTGAGTCTAGAACCCAGGAGTCCTGGCTCCTCCCTCTCCCTTCCCCCACTGAGTCTAGAACCCAGGAGTCCTGGCTCCTCCCTCTCCCTTCTCCTGCTGGGACTAGAACCCAGGAATCCCAGCTCCTTTCCCTTCCTGGGACTAGACCCCAGGAGTCCTGGCTCCTCCCTCTCCCTTCCCCCACTGAGTCTAGAACCCAGGAGTCCCGGCTCCTCCCTCTCCCTTCCCCCGCTGGGACTAGAACCCAGGAGTCCCGATTCCTCCCCTCCCTTCCCCCACTGGGTCTAGAACCCAGGAGTTCTGTGTGGATCCTGGGCATGGGTCACGCTACCCCCATAGGCCACATCAGAACTTGAATCTGGTGCCCCCTCCCCATGGCTGGCCTGTGCGTGGGGCAGGGAGGGCGCGTTGCAGGCCAAGCTGACGCAGCGAGGGGCAGTGTCGTGCTGTGATCGCCCCAGGAAGGCCGGGTGCTATGGGGCCGTGTGTCTCCCGGGGGGCTGTGCGCGCAGCCTCGCTTGGGGCTCTCGGAGGCTGAACGCACGCTCCGTGATGTTTTATGGCGCACGTCTTGCAGGAGCCTCATTCCATGGAACCGTCCCTCCCTGCCCCGGGTGTGGCTTTGTGAGGGCATCAGCCAGCGGCCAGCCTGGCTCCTGCTGTCAAGCCAGGCTGCTCCAAAACACACCGTGGGGTGGACGTCTTCCCCTTGGCTACGTTCTTTAATCGCTAGGGAAAGTTTGGTGAAAATATGACTGCTGATGGCTCAGTGGTACATTGGCTGCTGCTGCTAGTTCTGAGGCAGTGGGGCCTAGGGGTTAGTGCAGGGGACTGGCTGCGGGGCAGGACACCTGCGTTCTATTCCTAACTCTGGAGGGGAGTGGGGCCTAGTGGTTGGAGGGGGCACTGCTTGCCCATTCTGATGCCCCCTGCCCCTCTGCACCCATGGCTTCAGCCCCCACTAGGTTACCTCTCCACCTTGTCCCCGCAGTGGGCACTTCGGGGTGGTGAAGCGCTGCCGGAAGCGGAGCTCAGGGTCCTTCTACGCCGCCAAGTTTGTGAAGACGCGCAAGTGCAAAGGCAGCCGGTGGGGGCTGGACCGCGAGCAGGTGGAGCGGGAGGTCAGCATCCTGAAGCAGCTGGAGCACCCGAACATCCTGCACCTGCATGATCTCTTCGCCAGCAAAGCTGAGACGGTGCTGATCCTGGAGTTGTGAGTGAGCGGGCCGGCGTGTGGGTGGGGGGCAGGGCACGTGGGTTTCCCCTTTTCCCTCTGTAATAACGCTGTGTTCCTAGCGCACCCCATCCTCTCCCTGCTGGGGGACCGTCCCCATTGCACTCGGGGGAAACTGAGGCACATAGAAACCGGGAAGACGTGCACCAGAGTCCTTCAGTGAGTCAGTGACCAAGAAAAGCTGGGGAGAGAGCCCAGGAGTTCTAGATCCAGTCATTGTTCCCTCTAATAATTTCCATCCATGTGCAGAATAAATTTTTATGTGCAGATGTGCACCACCAGTAGAAATACTTAGGCTGCGGGCGCTCTGCTGATCAGCTGGGTGGCACTGGAATTTCTTCTGAGCAGCTGCTCAAGCACACAGCCTACAGGGGACACTGGTCTCAGTCTCCTTTGCTTTAAGCGCTGTAGATCACGCCCCCTGCCCTCTGGGCTGCGGTTAAAACCCAGGAATCCTGTCTACCAGTCCTCTCTGCCGCTCTAATCGCTAGCCTCCACTCATCACTCGCCTTGGCACAGCTGCTCTGCCCTGGGGCGTGTCACACGTGGGCCCTGAGCTCTGAGCCTGCTTCCCCGTGCCGAGCTGCGGTGTCTGGGTTGAGATGGCGGGAGAGGCCAATGATGCTTAGACCCGCCCCGCCTGCAGAGGCTGCAGGCTGACATGATGCGGCTGGGGGTCCCAGTCCTTAAACTCTCTGGGATGGGCAGCGGAGGGCATGGGTATTAGGTGATGATAGGGCTGGGGGAGGCAAGCCCCCACCCCGCCCCAGCCCTGCCCCTTCTGCCTAGGCCCCGGTCCCTAATGGGAACCAAGCCACCCCCTCCCCCACTAGCTCCTCCGGGAGGCCCCGGAAGCACAGGGAGGGAGGGGGGCTTGTGGCTCCAGCCTCTCTGGCCCCGACGAGCGGGCGCTCGGGGGCAGCAACGCTCCGCCCCCATTACGCCTACAGCCAGTGTTCTGGGGGCGGAGCCTGGGCGGGGCCAGGCCAGCAGTTTGGGAAGGCAACGCCTTCCCTTGCCTCGTGTACCCACCGCCCGGGGCTGAGGGTTTGAAATACCGGGCCCTTAATGGTGCCTCCCCAGCGAGAGAAGCACGGATTTGACTTGGGCTGCGTCCGCTTCACTTTTTGAGCCCGGTTGGCTGATCTTTTTTTTCATTATTTTTTTTTTAATCCTGGCAAATCTCATTTAGATCCTGTGGTGAAAGGGCCTGACTCTCCGTGGGCCTTGGGCCACAAGGCAACCGGGACCCTGGGTGATCCGTGTATGTGCGTACGCTCCTATCTGTCTGCCTCCTGTGGGTATGACATGGCCATCTGCTTGGGCAACGCCAGCTGTCCAGAAAGTGTCCGTGGGACATCTGTCCAAGGGTCGCTTCCCCCCCCCACTGAAATGCAGCCCCCTTCTAGGCTGCAGTGGTTTAACAGCAACACACAGCCAGAAGCACTCGCCCGTCTCGGAAATGCAGCCACCTCTGAGGAGGAGCCTGGCCGGGAACGGCAGAATGGAATTAGACCCACGCAGGGCCACATCACTCCAAGTCAGGACTCCTGGGTGCTATTCTCAGCGATGCCTTGTCCTTTGCTGAGGCCCCAGGTCAAATCGCTCCCCCGCTTGGTGCCTCAGTTTCCCCCGGGAGGAGGTGGTGCCAATTCCACCTGTGCTGGGGGCTTTGAGATCCTGCGGCGCCAGGCTGCGTTAGGCGGGTGTTGAAACCGCCCCCGTTCGAGCACGCGCTTGCTGCTGTCCCTGCTCTCAGGATCCGCGGCGGGGAGCTCTTCGACTTCATCGCCGAGAAGGAGATGCTGACGGAGGCGGAGGCCATCGAGTTCCTGCAGCAGATCCTGCAGGGCGTCGCCTACATGCACGGGAAGCACATCGCCCATTTCGACCTCAAGGTGCCTGGCTCCCTCCCTCGCTCCCCGCTGGCCCCTTCGCCATTGCGTCTCCGACCCAGCATGCGGGAGGAGATTGGAGGTGGATGTGTGTGGGGAGAGCAGGGGGGCAAATGCCCTTTGTAGCTATGCCAGGCCTTGCCTGGTTCCCCGAACTCCAAGGCTGCTCTGCCTCGCGCGTTTTCCTCCCTGCGGAGCAGAGAATGCCCAGAACATGGCTTGTTCCAGCCTCACCGCCGATCCACCCCGTTCTGGGGGCTGGGCAGGTCCAGAGCCCAGTACACCAGCTCCACCCCAGCCAGGACAGGGGCTGTTAGTGGCTTGCCTCCGCTCTCTTCGAGGCCCTCTTTTTGCTGCCATGGAGACCCAGGCCCGTGGTACAAATTCTGTGGCTTTTCCCATGGCCAGAGGGGTCTGTGGTGGCCCCGGGCCTGTGAGTTGCCCCTGAGTCTGCTTGTTCCATCTCCTCTCTCTCCTTCCCACCCCGTCCACTCCCCGAACTCCTGGCATGGCCACTGCCACCTTGTGGCCAGCCGTAACTCTGCAGGCTCAGCAGTTTCTTACACCAGCCACCCTCCCCCCAAATTGGACAGCAGCTGGAAAAATTAGACCTTCCTTCTGCTCTGGGGCAGAGAGATGGGGCCGGGGCAGAGGGCCCAGATAGTGGGGCTCTCCTCCCTGGCTGTATCGGCTCTCCCACTTCCACGCTCGTTGGGGACATTGGGCTCCGAGCCCCGGGAACTCACCGTGGGAACCTTCAGGCCTTGTGTGTTCCCACCTTGATCCCTGCTGGCATCACACGCCCACCGCTTAACTGTTCCAACCTTTGCAGCCACCACAACCCTGCCGTGGGCACGGGGCCTGCAGCGTGAGCTGACCCCTTTTAGCCCAATGTCCCTTGCATCTGTTTGCACCAGTGCAAAGGGAGAGCGAGATGCGGCCCGCCCCGATCTGATCACATTCCCACACGTGCTTTGCACTGGTGTCAGGGACCGGGTGGGGCGTGGGGCACCGGAGAACGGGGCTCATGGTGTCTCTTGCCACACTTCCACAGCCAGAGAATATCATGCTGCTGGAGAAAGATGTCCCCAATCCAAAAATCAAGATAATTGATTTTGGCCTGGCCCAAAAGCTGGAAGATGGAGTGACCTTCAAAAGCCTTTGTGGGACTCCGCAGTACATAGGTAAACAGCCAAGCACTATTGATCTGCTGAGAAGCTTATCCAGGAGCCTGTGGGACTTATTGGCATAGTGTTCTATTGGGGGTTAACCTGTGGAACTCTCTGCCACTGGATATCATTGAGTCATAAGGTGCAGCAAGATTCCTGAAAGCCTTAGCAGGGACACACAGAGCAATCTTGTGTGGTTCCCACAATGTCTTTCATTCCCAAAGCCTTTGGGAATACTTGAGAGCAAGGAACTTCACCCCCCTCTATAATAGTGCTACCTCTGGGGACAAACACAGTGGCTGCTTCGAGCAAGTACAGACCCTTTAGGCTGGGATGTGGAGGAGACTCTTGTTTCCTGTTAACCTGCAGCGGAGGGTTTAAAGAGGCAGAATGTGGTACCCAGAGGTTTGGGGACAGCTCTTAACAGCCCTTTCCTTCCCAAAGCACCAGGGGCTCTTAATGACCTTCTGGGGCGAGGAGTTTGTACTCCTGGCCAGTCTGAAAGCACAGCTCAGTATCCCTAGCAGCACTCAAGCAGTGGGAACGGCTGGATTTTTAGCGGAGCGAGGGCCCTTCTGTTTTGATTTGCTATACATCTCGGGTCCCATAGGGGGCGTACGGAGTCAGGCAGCGGATGCAAAGTGACACTTGGGTATGTCTACTTTTTTTTTTTCTCCTCCAAGCTCCCGAAGTGATTAACTACGAGCCTCTCAGCTCGGCGACAGACATGTGGTAAGGACAGGAGCCCACCCAATGCCCCTTCATGCCATGGCTCGGGCGAGGGGTATGAGCGGGCGTCAGCTCAGATGGGTTCTCAGAATCCCTCAGCCTGTGTCCCAGGGTACATTGTCCAGGGTGCGGTCTTTGTTTGAAACACTCCGAGCGCCGTTGGGAGACGATTCCCCGGCCCCTCACATCCAACTAAAACGGATCTGACAGCCACAGTCTTAAGGAGGTCCATCTGCTCCGCGAAAGGGGGATCTGATAGAGCAGTGTTTCTCGCCCCTTTTTTTAAAATAAAGTATCTCTTTTTAAAAAAATTATAAGTGCCCCCAGTACTTATAGTTTTCAGACACACAATTTTTTTTCTACCGTTGCAACACATTTGTTTAAACAACTTAATTGTAGCTGGGTAGGCGATGAAATTTTTGGGTGTAAAAAGTACAAAAATAATAAAGTGCTGTAAAACTTAAAACAAACATTCAGTGTTCTCCAAATTTCAGTTGTCTTGACAAACCCACTCAGACTTCTGTCAAGTACCCCTAAGGGTACTTGTCCCATTAGTTGAGAAACACTGCAATAGAGGTCTATACAGTCATGACAGGTATGGAAAAAGCAAACAAAGAAGAGTTATTTACGTGTTCCCGTAACATAAGAACCAGGGGTCACCAAATGAAATTAATAGGTTTTAAACAAACAAAAGGAAGTTTATCTTCACCCAGAGCGCACACAACCTGTGGAACTCCTTGCCAGAGGATGTTGGGAAGACCAGGACTTTAACAGGGTTCAAAAAAGAACTAGATAAATTCATGGAGGTTAGGTCCATCAATGGCTATTAGCCAAGATGGGTAGGGATGGTGTCCCTAGCTTGTTTGTCAGAAGCTGGGAATGGGTGACAGAGAGGGATTACTTGATGGTCCCCTGTTCTGTTCACTCCCTCTGGGGCACCTGGCATTGGGCCTTCAATCAGAACAGAAATTGAAAGGTGTCTGGTCGGGAGGAGAACACACTAGCACCTCTTTTCTTTCTGACTTCCATCCCATTGCAGCCAGCTACTTAAAAAAGCATTTCTGTCATCCAGTCAATGCTTCCAAGCCATGCGATCGGGGAGGCTGGGGGAAGCGAGGGTGTTGCACACCTGGGCTATGTCTACACTGGCGGCTTCTTGCGCAAGAACATCTTGCACAAGGGTTCTTGTGCAAGAAGTCTTGCACAAGAAAAAGTCCACACTGCCATGTGCGAGTCATGCTTTTGCGCAAGAGCTCCCATGGCGGTGTGGATGCTCCTTTGCGCAAGAAAACTCTGATGGCCATTTTAGCCATACGGCTTTCTTGTGCAAGAAATCCCTGCTGAGCATCCACACTGCCCTCTTGTGCAAGAGCTCTTGTGCAAGAGGGCTTACACCTGATAAAAAAGAGCGTAGCTCTTCCGCAAGGACCCCTCTCTTACCACGCCGTACTGTAAATTTCCTTGTGCAAGAGCAGGCGGGCAGTGTGGACGCTCTGCAAATACTTGTGCAAGAACGGCTGTACTTGTGCAAGAAGCCACAAGTGTAGACATAGCCCTGGAATGTGGGAAGCGAGCGGTGGGTTAACACGCCATAGAGTGAAAGCTGCTTGTCCAGCCTGCTCAGGATAAACAAGGGAGAGACAAATGGATCAGCCAGGATTTGGGATAAGAGTTGGGGAGGAGAAAAGGGACGTTTATCCCACTCTGGCACTTATGTACCTGGCCCCCCTCCCTGATTTCTGCCAGCGTAGCCTGTGCGCATGGCTGATCCCTGTGCCTCAGGCTGGCTAACCTAGAATGTGTCTTTGTATATTTCAGGAGCATCGGTGTTATTACCTACATCTTGTAAGTACCTGACGTCTTGGGCATCTCTTCTTCTCTGAGCCTCCCATCTTTGGCCCCCGCATTGTTGTTTTTATCCAGAGACCGTTTCCCTTCCCCCAACTCTTCACCAAAGAAGGGCAGAGTGGGGAAACTGAGGCACGGAGCAGGGGCACAGCTTCCCCGGGAGCTCTGTGGCAGAGCCAGGAAGGCAACCCAAGCCCCTTGATGTCCTCACCCAGGAATGGGACCTTCCACCCCATTTCAGTCTGTTTTACGCTGTCAGCGTGGGGCAGAGGGCAACCAGGCCCTTTGCTGACAAGTGCCATTGGGACAGGAACCGGGACTGTCTGGATGTCTGTGCAGCACCTAGCCTGCGGGGGTCCCGATCCTGGCCAGGGCTGGTCCCGATCCTGGTTTCCGTCTGGGTGATAAGGCAGGTAGACGGGGCCCTAAGCTGACTGCTTGGGGGAGAAGGCAGCAGTGGGGAGTGGATTACGGGGATGGAGGGAGAGTTTCATACCAGCTGAGGACCAGGCTGGCTGCACATGCATCCTGTCTTTGGACAAAGGGGCGTGGCTCCCAGTAGGGGGGTGGACATCACATCCTTTGCAGGTCAGGTGGGTCTCGCGCTCCTTGCTAGCTTGCCTCTGTCCCTGGCAGCTCGCCCTGGTGGGGTCCTGTAGACTCAGCCGGCTCTCAAGGGGTCCTTGTCTCGTGCAGGCTGAGCGGCATGTCCCCCTTCCAGGGCGAGACGGACGCCGAGACCCTCTCCAACGTCGTTGCCGGCATCTACGAGTTTGAGGACAAGTACTTCAACGAGACCACCGAGATGGCCAAGGACTTCATCCGGCAGCTGCTGGTGAAGGAGCCGGGGTAATGCCGGCACTCGGCGTGGCCCGCCGGGCAGCGAGACCCTGGGGTGGCTTGTGGACAAGGGGGTTCGCTGAAGGAGCTGGGAATCCCTCCCACGCATGGGGGTGACAAGCACCTCTGCTGACAGAGGCCCCTGGCAGAGGGCTCAGGTGGGATGTGGGGGCCCCATTCTGTCATCTGGCACCGTGTGATTTCTGCCCCGAGGAGCTAGGCCAGGGGTGATCCCAGCTATGGGGGGAGGTTCCTTCAAGCCAACCTACCCCCAAATACCCCAGCTGGAAAGGCCAGCGTGGGTGTGCGATCAGGGCCAGCTGGACCCCAGCTTGTAACCTGGGGGGGCAGCGATGTTGGGTGAGTGCCAGAGGGGGTGGCAAGAGCAGCCCGTCTGCTGCTGCTGATGTTGGCAACAGAGGGGGGGGTGCGGGAACAGGGGGTAAGAGGGCACGTCGGGGGGGGGGGGGTGGATCCATTGCACAGCGGG